CCAATTTTAAGCACAGTCTAATATGGGATAGGATCCTTAAACTTATGGTTAATGATATCATTCAATAACACTTTTCAAGTACAGTCGACCCTTGAACAACATGGGTTTGAACTGCACGAGTCCACTTACACCTGGATTTTTTTCAATAAATATACAGTTGGCCATTTGTATCTGAGGGTTCCCATCCATGGGTTAAAACAACCACAGATTGCAAATTTAATACACAATCTGTGGCTGGTTGAATCTGAGGATTCAAACCCTTGGATATGGAGGGTGGGCTATGGGACTGGAGCATACTCGGATTTTGGTATCATCCGCGGGTCCTAGAACCAATCCCCCGCCAATACCAGGGGACGACTGGATTTTCAAAACAATATTTTTTCAACAGGGATGTTTCTATTTTGCAATGTGGTATATCCGCTAGAAATGAAAACACCTCTATTGTTGATGCTTTGTGAAAAACATTCAAATAGTATAGAAATGCATAAGGTGGAAGTAAAATTCTTCCTATAATTCCATGCTCCAGAGATAACTACTAATAATAGATTGATACATATCCTTCTCGACATCTGTAAACATATAGAAGATCATGCTATACATGTGATTCTGAACCCTGAGTCTAATTACTAGGTACAAAGGTTAGTGAGGCTGCTCAGGATGGTAGAGTGGAAAGAAGGAAGGAACCTGGGTCTCTGATGACATCCCTGAGCCACTGAATTAACCAACCCTGGAATCTCCTTTCATAAGACTTCTTGTTGTTTGAGATAATAAATGTCCCTTATTGTTTAAGTCACTTCTAACTGAATTTTGTTACTGCTGCCCCAAACATTCTACTTACTATGTCATTTTCCTAGATAACTCAGCCTATCTATACTTAAGGCAACTATGTACCTCCATATGTCTTATAATTATAATGAGGTGATGCTTGGAACAAAATAAAAGCATATGCATAATGCTGTTACAGCAAGCTAAACCAATAAGCCTTGAAATTCCCATCATCAAATAAGTTAAAATGACTTCAGTTCTGCCAAACCCAATCCATTGTACAAGATGGTTTATTTTAAATATGCATGATATTAAGCTGAACCTTACGGGAATTAAGAGCCTAGAAATCCTAAGGAAAATTATGCATTTAAAAAAATGTCAGGTACATAGTTTCTCTACATACGTACTATTACTAGCAGAAACACATTTATTGAGCATTTAGTATGTACCAGTGCTGTGCTGAGTGCTTTACACCAATTAATATAATCACAACAAACTTATGAGGCAGATACTATTACATTCCCATTTTACAGATGAGGAAATTAAGGCATAGAAAGGTTTATCTGCCCCCCCCAAATAATCAAGCTCATATGTATGGTGCCATTTATAGGTCCTTTACTCTCAGTCATTATTTAACCCAATCCAGTCTGGCTTCTCATCCTACCCTTTTCTCCACTGAATTTTCAAGTTCATGAATAAGCTCCATTTTGGTAACTCAGAAGGACACCTTTCAGTCTTTATCATGTTTCACCACTTAACATGATACTCTCTTCTGAGTCTCCTCCCACCTCTCTGACCATTCCATCGTAGTCTTCTTTTGTGGGGTCTCTTCTGAGACTGATTTTTAAATCTGGTGATTTTTAAAGCTTTTTCCTATAGCCTCTTCTCTTCTCCTTTTATACTCTCTCCATAGGTCATTTCATTCATTCCCATAGCTTTAAATAATAATCTATTGATGAGTCCTAAATGTATCTCTAGCCCAGATCTCTATCCTGAGCTTCAAACTAGTATACATAACATCTCCACTTAAAGATCTGAGAACCTCAAACTTAACATGTCCAAAACTAATCTCATCTTCCCTTCTAAATCCACGCTTCTTCCAATGTTCCCTTCTTCTGTGGTACCACTATCCCATCAGTTGCCCAAGCCAGAGAGCTAGTAGTCATCTTTGCCTCCACTGTTTCCCCCTCTCCATCGAATCTATCACCAATTGATTCTACCTTTCAAGTATCTCACGTATCTGCCACCGTTCTCCATGCCCACCGCCATCACATTAGTCCAAGTTACTATCAGCTGTTTGCCAGGGTTACTGCAGTTGCCTATCTGAGCTTCTTGTATCTACTTTTGTCCTCTTCCAATCTATCAATATTTTCCCCCTCTGCAGCCAGGGTAATCTTTTAAAAATACAAATTTGGGACTTCCCTGGTGGCACAGTTGTTAAGAATCTGCCTGCCAATGCAGGGGACACGGGTTCGAGCCCTGGTCCAGGAAGATCCCACATGCCGCGGAGCAGCTAAGCCCACGTGCCACAAATACTGAGCCCGCGTGCCACAACTACTGAAGCCTGTGCGTCTAGAGCCCGTGCTCTGCAACAAGAGAAGCCACCACAACGAGAAGCCTGCGCACCACAATGAAGAGTAGCCCCCGCTCGCCACAACTAGAGAAAGCCCATGCGAAGCAACGAAGACCCAACACAGCCAAAAATAAATAAGTTAATTAATTAATTAATTTAAAAAACAAAAATGCAAATTTGATCAGGTCAATCACAGACTTAGAATTCTTTAACGGCTTTCCACTGACCTTAGGATAAAGGGCAGAATCTTTTTTTTTTTTTTTTGGCCACACTGTGTGGCTTGTGGGATCTTAGTTTCCTGACCAGGGATTGAACCCGGGGCCCCGGCAGTGAAAGTGCCGAGTCCTAACTATTGGACCACCAGGGAATTCCCAAAGTGCAAAATCTTTAAAATGACTTGGAGAGCCCCACAAGATTTTGCACTAGTTTATATCTCCAACCTCACTTCTTACCACTTCATCTTCCACTCTAGCTAGAATGTACTTCTTTCAAATTCTCTACACACTCTGTTCTCTACACACCACACTCTAGGCCTTCTAACATGCCATTTTTTTAACCTGGAATATTGTCTGTTCCTGTAACCAATATCCCAAACTAGCGAACACCTACACAGCAGTAAGATCTCAACTAGTATGTCATTTCCTCTCTAAATCCCTCAAACTAGGTTAGATCTCCCTGGCAAGTAGATCAGGGCTTAATACATAGTAGGTTCCTAAAAATATTTGTTGACTTGGCTGAGTAGAAAAGAAGACTGTATAGGTATGGAGGGCTTTTTATTTTTAACATCTTTATTGGAGTATAATTGCTTTACAATGGTGTGTTAGTTTCTGCTTTATAACAAAGTGAATCAGTTATACATATACATACGTTCCCATATCTCTTCCCTCTTGCATCTCCCTCCCTCCCACCCTCCCTATCCCACCCCTCTAGGTGGTCACAAAGCACTGAGCTGATCTGGTATAGAGGGCTTTGATAGACAAGCAAGTGCTCAGTAAATGTTGAATGAAGGAGTAAATGAGCGGGTGGGTAGAGAAAGAAAGATTTGTTTAATGAACAGTTCTATTTTTTTCCCAATATACTATTAGTACATTTGTGGGAATAATATTGAATATCATCTTATAAAGATGAAAATGTCCAGTTTTAAGATTAGGAGGCAATATTTTAAAATAGGTTCCAAGCTATAACATTTCATTAAAATATGTTCTATAGCTTCCATCATATTAAATCATATAAGAGAAATCTATGAATAACTGTATATCAACAATTTTCTCAGATAATCTAGACAAAATGGACAAATTTCTAAAAACACACAAATTACCAAACTAACTCAAGAGGAACTATAAAATCTCAAAAGACCTGTAAACAAGTAAAGAGATAGAATCTGTTTCCACAACCTCCCAATAAAGAAAAGTCTAGGGCCAGATGGCTTCACTGGTGAATTCTACCAAACATTTAAAGAATCAACACCAATCCTAATAAAACTCTGCCAAAAATATAAGAGGAGGAACATTTCCTAACACATTCTATGAGATCAGCATTACCCTGGTACCAGAGCCAGCAAAGATACTACAAGAAAAGAAAACTACGGCCCAATATCCCTTATGAATACAGGTGGGAAAATCCTCAACAAAATAATAACAAACCAAATCTAATAGTACATTAAAAGGATTATACACCAAGACCAAGTGGGGTCTATCCCAGGAATTCAAAGGTGGTTCAACATAAGAAAATCAAAGTAGTAATTCATATTAACAGAATAGAGAGGAAAAAACAAATGATCATCTCAATAGATGCAGAAAAAGCATTTGAAACAATTCAACACCCTTTCATGATAAAAATACTCAGCAAGCAGGAGTGGAAAGGAATTTCCCTAACATGATGAAGTGCATTTACCCAAACCTATAGCTAATATCATACTCAATGATGAAAGACTGAAAGCTTTCCACTTATGATCAGGAACAAGACAAGGATGTGTGCTTTTTGAAACAAGAGAGAGGTGGTGGTTGGACAACATCGTGAATGCACCAAATGCCCCTGAATTGTATACTTTAAAATAGTTAACTATGTGTTATATGAATTTCACCTCAATAAAATGATTCATAGAGTGAATCATTTATTCACTTTGGCTTACTGATGTACAAGCATATTTCCTATGTTTACAGGATAATTTGTAGATGAGTTCTAATTTAGAGATTGCATTATAACACCATGAAAAACAAACTATATTTTCATTTCAAGATAAATGCGAGATAAAGTCCAACTATAAGCCTGAAAACTACCCTTAGGAGAGCCTGCAAGTTTTCCTCTCAAAATTAGAATGTTCTTTTAAAAATTGAAAGCCAGATGGTTTTATATATAAAAGCAAATCTCAATGTTAATCCATGTGGGATTTAAAAGTTAATTCTGCTGCAGCTGCAGCAGCTGTACCAATCATAACTGCAGCCAATGTGTTTATTTTTCCTTCAGTAATGTTTAGAGCAATGTTTCTCAAAGTGGGAACTTGTTAGAGATGCAAATTCTCAGGCCCTGCCTGAGACCTCCTGAATCAGAAACTCTGGGGTTGAGGGCCAGTAGTCTGTTCTAACAAGTTTTCCAGGTGCACACTCAAGTTTGAGAACCACTGACTAAGACCAATAGTGCAAGTCTATAAGCATTTTCTTACCAGACAGTGCTGTGCCATACACGATGTACTGTTTCTTCGAGTTCTTAATGTGTCAGATTGGAACACCTGTGTATTACCCCTAAGAAGAAAAGGAAAACATTTGTCATTTAAAATCCATTACAAACATTTTTTAAAGAAATAAGATTTCAAATCCTTAAACAACAATGCCATTGATGTAAATGGCTTCTTTGTGGAGACAGCTGTGCAGATGTAGGAAGTAGAACACACACACACACACACACACACACACACACACACACACACAAAGTCTTGGTTGGCTGAACCTAAACAACTGTCCATGTAAGGTAAGGAATTCTCAAGCATGCCACGTTACCTCTAATCATGCTACCAAGAATAAATATAATTTATTGTGGCCTTGGAGAGACATCATTTTCTGTGTAAACTTGTAACCAATTTAAATTTATGACCGAAGCTATTATGTGCTAGTACCAACTCCCTATCGACTCCCAAACTTTCACATGAATGAGAGGGATAGCCAGTAGCAGGGGTCGACAGAACTGAGATTTTCAGATATGTTTCATTTGGCCTACTCAGCGTTAAAAATGTTTTTGAATTAGTTGTGCACACTTGGAACAACTCTGGAGATTTCACATAAAGAATCCAGATTCCAGATTTCTGGAATCTACTGAAAATTTGCAAGATTTTGCCACACTGGGCCACATTCCCCCACGGCAACAACGTACTGAAGCTGAGCAGCTGCTGCATGCTGAAGATGGTCCTTGTTTGCCCAGCTTTGAAGGTGCTCACCTGGCGGGCCTCAGCCTGATTTGAGGTTGGGACCCTGAAGAAGTCCTCTTTTCCTTTTTATGTTTTGTTTTTGTTATAACTTAAAAAAAATATTTTATATTGGACTATAGTTGATTTACAATGTTGCGTTAGTTTCAGGTGTACAACAAAGTGATTCAGTTATACATATGTGTGTGTGTATATATATATATTCTTTTTCAAATTCTTTTCCCATTTAGGTTATTACAGACTATTGAGCAGAGTTCCCTGTGCTTTACAGTAGTAGGTCCTTGTTGGTTACCTATTTTAAATATAGTCGTGTGTTGTTATAACGTTTTATTTGGAAACTGTTTAAGACAAGAAATTGCAAAAAGAATATAGAGAGTTCTCATGTACCTTTCATCCAGGTTTCCCCAGTGATAATAAGAAAACATCTTTAACATGTTCTTTTCTGCCACCTATATCCAATCAGGTGCCAGGTCTTTTAGGTTTTACCTCTGTGATCTCTCACGTCCATCTTATTCTTTCCAGGCTCCTTGCCAAAAAACAATTCAAAGCATTTTTACTTTTCCACTGACTCTGCAATAGTCTAATTGGTCGGCTCACCTCTGTTCTTTCCCTACTGCAATCAGCTTGCTCTCCTGCTCACAACTTTCAATGACTCTCTTCATCGCCTGCTGAATTCAGTTACATTCTTTCCTATAACTTTCAAAGCCTTCCACAATTTAGCTCCACAGACTTTTGGATTTCATAGACTGGGAAAATTTCAAAACAAAATCTTGGCACAAACATACAGTTGCTACCATTTTCTCTTGCCAAGTAAGGTCATTCTTTAAAAATCTCACCAACTATCAACACCATCATTTCATTTATAAAAGGATATTTTGTTATTTAAAAAAAGCAGGGCTATTATTAAAAATAATAATAATAAAGCAAGACTAACAATCTGAGTAAAATACAGTCCTGCCCAGGAAAGTATGCTGTAACTTTTTAAAATCATGGATTGGTAAAATGTCCCCTAGGATCAGCACTGGTCAGCAGATGAACATTTGGGAGCCAGAGATCCAGACAGAGTTGACCAGCATTCTGGAATACACCTATGCTTTCCTACTTCCAAGCCTGTTCCGTGTCGTTGGAATGCTATCCAGCTATCTGGCCCCCTTTCTTCCCGTCTGCATCCTGTCAATCTGTTAGGGCCCATCTTAAATGCCACCTGTCCAAGAATCTTTCCTGTATCCCTCACCAATTCTGCTGTCACTTCTCACTCCCTTCTCTTAATTACCCTAGCACTTTCTTTCCCTAAGCACATGTCATTCTACCATACGTTGAAGTCTTTTGAGTATTTATTTTCCCTATTAAAAGCTTATTGAGAGGTTCCCTGGTGGCACAGTGGTTAAGAATCCGCCTGCCGATGCAGAGGACACGGGTTCGAGCCCTGGTCCGGAGAGATCCCACATACTGCAGAGCAACTAAACCCGCGAGCCACAACTACTGAGCCCACGTGCCACAACTACTGAAGCCCACACACCTAGAGCCTGTGCTCCGCAACAAGAGAAGCCACCGCAATGAGAAGCCCGCACACCGCAACGAAGAGTAGCCCCCGCTCGCCACAACTAGAGAAAGCCTGCACACAGCAACGAAGACCCAACACAGCCAAAAATAAATACATTAAAAAAAAATCTTATTGAGCCTAGATATACATCTTTGCAGAATAGTAACTTGCATATAACAGGCAGTAACTCAACATTTTTTGAGAGGATATATGTACAGGTCTAATTTTTACTTCCTTTCCCAGTCATTTTCCCCTACGAGAACAGGAATATATTTTAGCAGTCACTGCTAGGAAGTTGGAGGGAAACTAATGGGTTACATATTTCCACGGTCTTGTGTGTATGTGGGTAATTCTTTTTTAAAAAAATTTTTATTGGGGTATAGTTGATTTACAGTGTTGTGTTAGTTTCACATGTACAGCAAAGTGTATCAGTTATACATATACATATACCCACTCTTTAGATTCTTTTCCCTTATAGGCCATTACAGAGTATTGAGTAGAGTTCCCTGTGCTACACAGTACGTCCTTATTAGTTATCTATTTTATATATAGTGGTGTGTATATGTCAACCCCAATCTTCCAATTTATCTCTCCCCCTGCCCGGGCTAATTCTTAAGGCTGACAATTATATTCTCCCCTAAACTTTCATCTGCCAATTTTATTTAATAAGACTATAACTGAAAAAAAATCATTGAGGCAGCATATATTTCAACTGATATGAGTCACTCAACATGAATTCATAAAATCCTAGGTGATATCTAGAATTAAGCGCTACTTACAATTTGGAAAAAGTGAAAGTTATATAACTAGATAATGTTTAAGTGATCAGTAAGCAGTAATATAACTAGATAATGTTTAAATGATCAGTAAGCAGCTCTGTCTAAACTACAGTATATTTATGCCAGTTATATTCCCAAAGCAATCACTCTTCATGGCCACTATTCTTCTTCCAGGTTTGCACAAGTTTAATAAACCCAATAGTTGGCAAACTTTTTCTGTAAAGGGCCGGACAGTAAATGTTTTGGGCTTGGTGGGCCATACAATCTTCGTTGCAACTACTCAACTCTGCCAGTGTAGTGGGAAAGTGGCCCAAGGACAATAAGTAAACAAATGGGTGTGGCTGTGTTCCAATAAAACTTTATTTGCAAAACCAATCAGCAGGCTCAATTTGGCCCCCAGGCAGTAGTTTACCTTTCAAACAAAACTGAGGCAGTAACAGTTTAAATGCAGGGTCAGGCTAGCAGTATTTAAAGGGGGAAGGCACTGGCAGAAATCCACGAATTTAATGTCTAATTCTAATAAGGGCCAGAGAAGTAGAAGAAAAAAAATACTACCTTTAAATAAAGTCACTGACACCGGTATCGAAGTCAGCCAACTAGAGGGGCTAAAGAGTATAAAGAACCAAGAGGTTTAAAACTTTTGACATTGGTATTTTTATTAATACAAGATGAACACAAAACTATGCAGGAACTTCTTAAAAAATAGTGATACTTGTGGGCTTCCCTGGTGGCGCAGTGTTTGAGAGTCCGCCTGCCAATGCAGGGGACACGGGTTCGTGCCCCGGTCTGGGAAGATCCCACGTGCCGTGGAGCGGCTGGGCCCGTGAGCCATGGCCGCTAGGCCTGCGCGTCCGGAGCCTGTGCTCCGCAACGGGAAAGGCCAAAACAGTGAGAGGCCCGCGTACCAAAAAAAAAAAAAAAAAAAGTGATACTTGTAGTAAAGAGTTGACATTTAAAGAACAAATTCTGCAAATGCTGCTGCAAGAGAGACTGAAAGTCTTTATATACAGGAAACATCAAGCAAAACTGGAAAATTGCTTGAAACAAGTGCAACAATATTTAGTGAGCTGTGATAGAAGCCAGGCAATGAGTATTAGAGGCCCACCTTAAGGAAAGTGGAAAAGTGAGCAGTGGACATATGCAACTGCAAAGAACTGGGGGGAAATGAATTCAACTAAGGCTCTGTGTAATTCTACTCTAAATTTTTTCTTGTTGATTACATGACCTCGGGCATGTGATATACCATTCCTGTGCTACTTCTTATAGACAGACAAGAGTCCCTGGACTTGGTCTGCTTTGTGGGTTAACTCCTACTAGATAAATATGCAACTGCCCCTAACCTTTCTGTACAAAATTCACTTCCTGCATCAGGATCTTAAGCCATGGAATTCAACACTGTAACCACGCTCTAAGATGATAAAAGCAAAAATTTCACATCCTTTGCAGAACAAAGCAAAGTATGAAGGGATAACTGGGATCACTCTTTGCTTCCAGGACTTTGAGGATCGGGAAAAGGGGCCTGGTCACCCACCTCCCCCCGCCCCAGCACTTAATATATTAAACAGGATCCACACGTTCCTTCAAATATATATCCTCTGTCATCTACGTATTCGCAAATTGTTCTTCATTTCATAAAGCCTTTCAATAAAATGAACATTCTCCTCAAGTGTTTTCTTCTACTAGCAGAGTGTGTCCATAACAGCTCATTTATTCACACAACAGGATTTAGAGTAGAATCCTGAATTTATAGAATATTCTTGTTCTCAGTACAACATGCAGAGCTGCCTCCACCCTTTATTTTTCTATCTGCCTGTTTAAAAAGGTAATGTATTATTTTCTGGTCACTTAGTTTGCTTTTCATTTTGTTACAGCATATTCTCCCTTAACTCAAATAACCAGAAAGCTGCATCTGTTTAGTTAATCAACTTAGATATTGATTAGTAGTGGACAAAGCACTAGCCTAGGAGTTTGGAGACACAGCTTCCTAGTACTGGCTCTACTACTGACTGACATTTTGGAGATTCATGGGCCTGTTTCCCCATACATTAAACAAGGAAGATAGATCTGGTCTCTTGAGTTCCCTTGTAACGGTGAATGCATTTTTCAGACATTTTTACAATACTGAGAAAACCTTATGATACTGGGATGTGAGATCCAAGATCTCACTTTAAAATTCTATTTTAAGAAATAATAAGCTTAAGTCATGCCAGATCTTTGGATATGTGCAGGAAATACAGTTAACCATCAGTTAGTTAAATCTTTTAAATCTTTTTTCATCAGCAGAGCTCTAAAGAGCCTTTTAGACATTTCCTCCCCCAACTCCTCCTCGAAAATCCCCACACCATTTAAAAAGCACAAATATACTGCATATCAGTCTATGTGCTGTATGTATACCTGTGCTTTATACATACGAGAAAAAATTTTTCACCCACCAAGAACTAACTAGGGGCAATATTGGCCATTGAGAATGCAAAATTTAGGAGATCAATTTTCGGTGATACCTAAACTTTTTGTTCAAATAAAAGCTAGGTGTAAAAAAGGCCCAAGCTTATTTGCTTGACAACTAGTTCCATTCCAACTGTGCTGAAGGTGAAGGTCAGAAGTGACAAAGCAGCGGAGAGAATGACAAAAATTAGTCATTACAGAAGATCTGGAGGCGAGGGTGGGGAGTGCACAGTTTCTTCAAGAGTGGGTAAGAGATGGGGTGAAGCTAGAAAAAGTCGTGCTCCAAACCAAATGGTTGCTGCTTTTCGGTCGCGATGAACTGTCAGAAGAGGACGTTCAGGTTCCTGTGTGAGCTCGCCCTCCGGTCAGCCCGCCCCACCTCCCCCCGCCCCCAGACTGAGGGTGGGATCTTCCGGACACCAGGAACACCGGAGATACCCGCAGAACCTCGATGAATAAAGGGGTGGGAATGCTATTGGAAGTCACTTTTTTGCAGCTCTTGCCACCCTCCACCGCCCGCGCTTGCCTCCTCCAGTATCTCAGTCCTGCTCACCCAAGCCCACTGATCAAAGGGACGCTGTTGGATCTTCTCAGAGTGTTGTCTTCTGTGGTGGTTGAACTCGGCAGCACCTCCAAGCCTAGTTCCATTTTCTCCTGTGCCATGTCCGTGCCGAAGCTTAGTTTGGAGCTCTCAAGGTTTTCTGGCTCCCGTTCATATAAGCACAAGTCAAAGTGAGGAGCTGATGTAGGGAGAGAGGAAAAAGGGGGGAAAGAGAAGAAAGGAGGAAGCTCTTAGACGAGTGCGTGCTCACTTTTGCAGCCCTACCATCCCCAACACCGGTGGGCACAAAGTGGGGCAGGACTGGCTCCGACCCGCCTAACTCCCAAGCTCGGGGCACCAACACTGAGATCCTCCACCTCCAAGCCTGTAATGAAAATGAGGAATTTATCTTAATCCGTGAATCCTTCTCCTTTATTTCTCTCAGCCAAGGCAACCCGGGGTAAGCCTCTCCGGCCAAAACAAAAACTACAACCTGCAGCCCTGGATAATCATTTGGGCACCGCCCCTCCGCGCATGCGTTCTGGGTCCGGCCCGCTGACGCCTGTTTACCACGCAAGCAATGAGCATTATCGCAGGCGCCTGGGTCATTCTTGCTGGGGGCGCACAGGCAGTGAGGGAGCCTCCTTTCCCCACAAAACCCGGTTCTCCCTTCGCTCTCCCTAGTGCAGACTCACCTTGTTTGTTCTTCCGCTCCTGTGTTAACCCTGGCGTGGTTTCGTTAACCATTATTTAGGAAAGAAAGAATGGAATAAGGTGTATGGGAGCGCCATCCTTTCTGCCCTAAGTCTAATACCCTGTTTTCTCCGTTTTGGTTAGCCCAGTGTCCCCTTATGACTGAGGCCAACAAGCTTGTTATCTCCCAGGACGAATTTTTCCATCCTGTTACGACACCCTACACCTTTGCAATTAAAAAAACACTGAAGCCTGGGGGTGTGGGCGGGGACACTTTTACGTGCTTAGAGACCACCCACTCCCAGAGGGTCCTGGTAAGGCTCTAACACAATTGAACCAATCGCACAAACAATCATTGTTTTCCGTGTGTGTGTGTTTTACCATAATCATACAGTATATTTTTACAATGAATAAAACCTAGCTGCTCGAAGCTATTCATCTAAGAAAAAAATTGGGGTTAAAGCAGGGAGGCTTATTTTCTTAAAGCAAATATCTCAGAATTTAGTATACATCCCAGTGTTTCCATTTAACAATGCTATCATGGCTCGAAACATTCTAAGAACTGCTCTTTTAGAATTTTTCACCACCAGTTAATGAGCCACACTGAGTAGTGAAATCTTAACTCCATGCTAATAATTTTGAAAAACCACACATTTTAGGAACCATATAGAGAACTGGGAGAGAAGGCAAGTGAAACGAGTGAAATGGGAGTTATTAAAATAGTTATAATGTGGTATAGCACTTTACAGTTTTAAAAAAATGTTTTCACATATCTCAATTGGTTCAATCATTAACCTTGCTCAGCTAATCAGTGGTGAATTTAAAATAATGGGATTATCTTGAGACAGTTGATGACAAGCTCATGTATAACATGAAGTATCATAATCATTCTTCATTCATTCTGAGAATAGACTAAGAAAAGTGTAGTTATATTGGGCAGAATTAGGTTACCTAAACCCCAGACACGAGGACGATTTGGAGTCTCCATTCCTGATATAAGACAGGTTAACAATAGCTACCATTTGGGGGGCACTTATTATGTGCCAGGTACTGTCCTAAGCACTTGAAATATGTGATCGCATTTAATGCTTACAGTAACTCTGTGAGTTAGGCGCCATCACAATGCCCATTTTTCAAAGGAGGAAACCGAAGCCGGGAGGGGTTACTCAAATTACAACTACTAAGTGGCAAAGCCAAGATTCCTCTGCCCTTCTATTTCAGTGAAAAGACAGACCAGGCGCCTCTGGATATTTCTCTGGATACTATTTTTGTACCCATAGGTACTCGACAAATACTTATTAGATTATTTTATGAATAAATACAGGTTTAAATAACCTGTCCTTCACAGCTATCCTGTAAAGTAGGTAAATCATTTCTATTTTACAGTTGATAAAATTCCAGAGAGATTAATGGCACATAACTAGGTAGCAGTAGAATCTGGGCTGGTACCAAGATTCCTGAAAGCCACTGCTGAAGTTCCCAGGGTAAGCTGGAAAGTTTATGAAAGATGGCAGCTAAAGCTTAGTAAAGTCAGGGTGACTGCAGAAGGCAATGGTTAAATACAGAACAGAGGGTCAAAACCAAACTGTTTGAATAAGAGATAAATATGGAGTACATCAGAGAACAGGTAGCTCTTACCTCCACTCTACTGCTTATTTTACTTTTCAAAGAGTTTATTACTATTCTTGGCAGATAATAAGGTTTAATGGATATATTCTGAATGAATAGACCAATCAAATCTCATCATGTCTAAACATTACTGATATCTAAACACAGAGCTTGTGTTTCTAACCCAGCTGGCAGGAAAATATAGGCAATTTAAAGGAAACTATCTAAAAGTGGTTTAAAAACTCTATTATGGTCAGAACACATAAATATTGAGGGTTAAAATGACGATTAGGCTTGGCAAGTTTTAATATGGTACAACTGAGTTGAAGAAGCAGGTAAAACTATTTTTGCAAAAGATGGATTTTTAAAATTTTAAATTTCCTGTTTATTAAGTTTCCTGTATTTTCTAGGTATGTATGATTAACACAACACAGAGGCCATCTCTCTCCCAGGGTCATTCAAGTGGTGAGGATTAAATGAGTTAATATTTCTAAAGCTCTCAGAATACTGCCTAGCACACAGTAACTGCTACGCAGGTGTTCAATAAAATAAGTAATTCCAGGGCTTCTCTGGTGGTGCAGTGGTTGGGAGTCTGCCTGCCGATGCAGGGAACGCGGGTTCGTGCCCCGGTCCGGGAGGATCCCGCATGCCGCGGAGCGGCTGGGCCCGTGAGCCATGGCCGCTGGGCCTGCACGTCCGGAGCCTGTGCTCCGCAATGGGAGAGGCCGCAGAGGTGAGAGGGACGCGTACCGCAAAAAAAAAAAAAAAAGTAATTCCAGGTTTCACACAAGAATTCTGGTTCTGCTACTTGCTCGTCAGGGCTTTACCTAATATCATTGAAGCGAAAGGTGCTTGTATAATGGAGACGAGTGTTTCTCACTAACTATATGAACTCTCACTAGATTTTCTTTATTTTTACCCCATTGCTTTTGTTTATTCACTTCCCTTTGCATCCCTAGTGCATCCAAATGGATGATCTGAAAAAGAAATCTGCCCCTCCAGACAGAGACCAACAAAGTCGAGGGATTTAAGAAACGAGTGAGGATCACAGAAGTCAGAGCATACGAATTGGGAGCGAAAAAACGTGGAAACCACGTGTTTCTTTTTCCCATGAATACTGGCCCAAACTCCTCCAGAAAGATGATGCTCCAGTATCTCCAAACGATTGGTCCTTTTCAAAATCGGGCGCCAGGGTCCCCGGGCCAATGCAGTCAAAAAAGGCTCCGGGCTCCCTGGAAACGCTCCTCCCCTTTGGAGGAAGTTTGCCGGGCGGGGCTCCCACGCATGCTCCGTGCCCGCGGGCCCATTGGCGCGGCCGCCGGGCGCGTGCGCAGGACCCGATGGGTCCCTGGACGCGGAAGACCTGGCCCGGCGGAGGTTCCCGCTTCTGAGGCGTGAGAGGCGGCAGGTTGTAGAATTTGGTCTTGGCCCCGAGGGGTTCCCCCGGGCCATTAGAACCCAAGACAGGAGAAGGAGGCACCGCGGCGGCGGCTGGTCGAACCCCCCACCTGTCCTCTAGGCAGGGAGGGGGGGCGAGGAGAGGAGAAGCACCGATCGCAGGGCTGAGGAGCCTCCGGACCGGGTCCCGGAGCATGGGGGACTGGACCGGGTCCCCGAGCATGGGGAGCTGGAGTCTCCGAGGCTGCCCGGCCGGGCCCTGCCCGACTGTCAGCTCCTCGGTGCTAGTGCTGCCCGGGCAGCTGGGGTGTCTGTAGCCCGGCCCCGCTTGAGGTCGTTGGCCAAAAGATAGCAGCATGAGTGCCGCCGCTGCCTAGTTTCCTCCCCGTCCTTCTCTGCTCCCTCCTTTCTCTCTCCTCTTCCCCATACTTCGTCCTTCTTCTTTCACTCCCCCCGCTCCTCTTTTCCCTCCACCCTACCCTCCTCCTTTCCCCCGGTCTTCTTTTCCCCCTTCTGTCCTCCTCCTTTTACCCTCTTTGTCTTCCTGCTTTTCCATCTATCCTTTTTCCCTCCCTCTTGCTCTTTTACCTCCTCCTTCCATCCCTCTCCTTCCTCGTTCCTCTTCCTTTATCCTGTCACCGTCCACCACGACCTCTCCGTCCTCCTCCCCTCCCTCATCCTCATCCTCCTTCCCTCCTCCTCCTCCTGCTTTTCTCCGCCCCCGCCCCCAAGCCTCCGCCCCTTAGCCCCCGCCCCCCAACTGCCAGTCCCCAGCAGCTCAGTCCTGCAGTGAGAGTCTTGGGAGTCCATAGCTAAGCACCAGGAGCTGAGCACTGTCCGCCGTGCCTGCCTGCAAGTCTCCGACATGGCTCAGGAGAAAATGGAGCTGGACTTGGAGTCTGACACATCTGATGGGGTCACCCTGAGGAGAGCCAACAGCGCTCCCCTGATCCAAGGGCTCAGGTGAGCACGGTTGGGGAGGATGGAGTGCAGGGTTCAGGGGCTCCTCGACCCCCTGCAAGCAGTCTTCCTTCCCTCAAGTGAGAGTTGGAGCTCATTTGGGTCCTCCATGCTGAGGGGGTGGGGACTTGTTTGCTTGACAGTAACTTGGGTCCCAAGGTGGAGTGAAAGTTTGACCCCAAACTCTGGGAAGTGTGGGGAAAATGGGGCCCTCTCTACCTGGGGCTCTGTTGGCCCACTGTAAAAGAAACTACAAGAAGCTTCTGGCTCTTCTAACAAGTTGCTTGCCCTGCCTAATTTACACCACTGAATGTCAGACTGAAGCCCCTGGAACTAGGATTGCAACTTGACACCTGCATCTAAGAGTTGCTATTTCTAAGCTTAGTTTAGGAACCCTGGCATTAACACAGGTTTACTTCAATAAATCACAGTTTATCTAATAACTTGTAATTAAATGGCATATTCATGTCCTATTAAGTGATTGGGATTTGTCATAATGTTTTCAGATCCTAGAACTGCCTGAAACGCATTCTGGTCAATAAAAAAAGAAGGGTGGCATGTCAGTGAAAGCACAGGTTTTCGAAAATAATCGAAAGAATTGACCCTTGAATTTTAGCGTAAGGTCTTGTGTTTTCATGTGAATTAAGTCACCAGAGGGTCTATTTTAAGGTAGACTCTTGTGGTAGTGAAGGTTAGGTTGGCAGACGTCTTGAGCCTATTACATTTCACTTTTTGTAAGTGGGCAATTCATCTTAGAGCCAATTCGTGAGACCCTGTAGAAATGG